TTTTTTTTTTTTTTTTTGAATCCATGCCTTTCATTTCATCATCTAATCCATCATCCCCTGACTCCCTGATGAAAAGAATCTGAGGAAGATTTCTTCGTGCTGCTTCTTCTCAGGTGTTAGAATGGCTCATGCTCAGTGTCCAGAAACTAATCTGTGGAGGCCTCGACCAGGCCAAGCATTAGTAATCAATCCAGTAAAATGAGTCGTCTGGATGATAACCCTTGTAGGTTTTCTACCAGAATGTATAAGGCCAGATGATGATACACTGAGAATTACAGCTACTGGTTAGAAACCACGGTGGACTTGCTAGGATGATGGGAATTGCAGCTCACCAGAAAATGAATACCTCATCTAGCATAACTCCTTAAAATAAAGCAGACTCCAGAATTTTCATAGTAGAGGAACAATGAACTCATCAAATTCTCATTCAAATAGAAGATGTGATATATTTGAGAATGAACTAAATTTGTTTGGTTTTAAATTTTTCAAATTCAGTCAAACTCCTGGTGATCACATAAGGCATTTCTATGCTGCCTTGTCAAAATTCATTTTTAAGAGATGGACTTAGTTGGACAAAGTAGCAGTGTCTTTATTCTTCCAGTGTTCTCCACAGCAGCTAAGAAATAGCTAAAGATAATAATGTGCCAGGAAGCCTGATCTTAGCTTTAATCTGGATGCTATTTAGTTTTCCCTTTTCTCCCTAACCTGCTTTCTAGTCTACTTTGTCTTCCTTAAAAACCACAATAAAATGGGGGCTTTATTGCCCCCATCCTATTTCTTTCTGACACATTCAATACATTTTTGTTTAATGAATAACTAAAACAAGCAAATGGCTGAGTGAATAATTAAATGGCTGTGAATGAGTTCATTATTTAATTAAAAACATCCAGTAAAGATGCCATATAGAAAGGATCCTATACTGGCTATCAGGAATTTAAGAGACTCTGGCAGATCGAGTTATTGGTTGCAATTCTCTACCCATCTCTATAGCCATGCCCTCAGCCTTGTTGTTGTTGTTGTTGTTAAGTGCCGTCGAGTCATTTCCGACTCATAGCGACCCCATGCACAGCAGAACGAAACACTGTCCGATCCCGTGCCAGCCCCACAATCCCTGCTATACTTGAGCCCATCATTGCAGCCACTGTATCAATCCATCTCATTGAAGGCTCCCCCTCT